GTGGTCGGGCGCAGGGAGGTGGGCGGCTCAACGCAGGAGCTCCCCCTACTGGCCTGCCTCACGTGGTGGAAACAGCGGAGGGATACGAATACCCAGCTGTGTTCCTGAGGTGGGATCTCGGCACCCGCCACAATCCCTATCCAAACCATCCCATACAAATCCATCATCTGATGTTTCTAAATGTGAAGAAATTGCTAACATTTCAATTGTGTTTTCTCTATAGATCCTAAGCAATTTAGGAGACTTCCAGTTTCTCTTCATCGATCTGGCAATCATTTTGGTTGTTGTCTTTACTAGTGAGTATATTGTGCTGAATAATCTCTTTTATGTTCTTGTTCATATCTTTAATCCATTTCTTCTTATCTGTAGTCAACTGCTGGAGTTTCGAAAGAAAGAAATTGTGTTGGAAGCTCAAATTTATTGTCAGGATCTTGTTAAACACCATTTTTTCTGCGATGGTAGTTGTCATTTTCCCAAAGTATATGAATCAAAAAAATTGAATGGGAGGACATAATGTTATATTGGGGTGAGCTCAGGTGTGTGACATAATATAATCTCACAAAGACATGATGACAGGAGTGATTGGCAACCCTGGGAAACTGAACTTTGACCTAGGGAAACACATGGTTGAAACACTTGAAGGCATTTATTGTCCTAATGATGATGGTATGATGGGTACTTTCTCAACTCTTGCACTCGCTGAAGTTTTATGCACAACAGATTACGTTCACACCCAGGCTGTCTGCCCTTGTCAGTTTGTCTTCACCCATGAAAAATGCAAATGAGTCTATCTTACAGGTTACTATCAGTTGAATTATTGCCCAAGATTAAAAACTGCTCTTGAAACTGTGGCATGCTACCTCAAGTGAAAGTAGATAGCCTGCAGCCGCTGCTGGTGCTCACTGGCCACACAAGGGTGGGAAGGTTGGCTTACTCAGCCTCCACCACATTCACCAGCTGGGTAAGGATGGGTCACTGCTGTGACCCCTGACCCCTGTTCCCTGGCTCTCTTGGTTGCTTCATATCAGTGGGAGGCTCATTTTCCTGGTCTGTGTGATAACAGGCTGTTGAGGAGCAATCTAGTGCAGGCTGTTGCACATTTTAAATGCAGAGCTACCCCACCAAATTAGCATAATGCAAATATCTAGAAGGTACGAGCAGACCATTCCAGCTCCGTAAAACTCAGGCAAAGTGACTCTTGGAAGCATGAAGCCTGCTGGTGATCATCAGTTCTCTCTTTCTTTCCCTCTTTCCAGTGAGTTTAAATCCTGCTTGGAAGGAGCTTGTTGCACAAAGGCCACCCTCAGGTCTCATCTCAGGTCCACTTCTCTGCTCAGTCCTGTCCCAGATGGTCATCTGCATTGCTTTCCAAGCCATGGGGTTTGTTTGGGTCAAGCAGCAGCCCTGGTATGAGTCCTGGACCCCAGACTCAGAGTAAGTTGTAAAGAGCGTGGTCACCTCTGAAGGGGAAACAGCTGATAAATATGTAACCTCCAGCTGGGAAATGGGCAGTTCCAGGGTGCTAATGGCAGTGCTTGAACTACTGTGTTGAACTTGGTACATGGGGGCCATCTGCTGTGGGAGGAGAAAGGCTTCTGACTTTTTGGAGTCAAATGAGGATTTTTGTTTGGAGTGAATCTCACTTTGTACTGCCAATTGCCTCCTGAATGACAGTGGGGCCTTTCTTTCTTGCAGCCCATGGGACAGTTATACGGAGACCTGCACAAAACATTAGGGCTCACCTTGATACACAATGTGGAAGAACTGGCAAATGAGATGCTGCAGAGTGAGCTGGGAATCTGAGAGCTGCTTCCACCTCACTCCTGCAGCCTTGGGGAAACACAACCAATCTGTTATGTTCACAAGATTAGGGAAGGCAAGAAGGACAGTGGGCTTTGTTTTGTCAGGGTGAGGAGTATTTGGTGGCTCAATGTCCAGTTGGGAGGAGGTATCAAGTGGCCTCACTGCTGGGGTCTGTCCTGGGTCCACTGCTTTTTAATCTGGTGCTTCTTGGCCTTTTGGCTAAGGTGCAACCTTCACTATTAAAGTTTGAATCTCTTCATTAGATTTGGACCATGGGATCAAGTGCACATTTAGCAAATTTGTGGATGACACCAAGTTGGGTGGAATTGCAGACACTCTGGAGGGCAGGGCTGGGATCCAGAATGACCTGAATACACTGGAGATATGGTCCAAAACCAATCAGATGAAATTCAACAAGGAGAAGTTCAAAGTCCTGCACTTGGGACAGTGCAGTTGCATGCCCAAGCATAGATTGGGGAATGACTGGCTGGGCTGCAGTACTGCAGAGAAGTACCTGAGGGTTACGGTGGATCATAAGGTGAATATGAGCCAACAGTGTGTCCTTGTTGCAAAAAAAAAAAAAAAAAAAGCCATCAGCATAGTAGGCTGTATTAATAGAATTGTCACTTGTTAATCAAGGAATATGATTCTTCCACTTTATTCAGGGGTGTACCTGGTGGCCGTGTTGGTCTGAGACGAAAAGACATACAAAAAACTAGAACTCTTCATTCCAAAATGATATCTTTTATTAGACCAACTGAAAAATGGCAAGAAAATTTTCCAGTTGGTCTAATAAAAGGTATCATTTTGGAACCAAGAGTTCTAGGTTTTTGTATTCCACTTTATTCAGCACTTACTAGTGTTGAGTAGAGCTCAGAGGCCTCACCTGGAGTGCTGGCTCCAGTTCTGGGCATCACACTTCAAGAAGGATGTGGACAGACTGGAAAGAGTCCAGAGGAGAGCAGCAAAAGGGCAAAGCAGTCTGGGTAACATGAATTGCAAGGAAGGATGGAAAAGAAGGCATGTGTTTAGTCTGGAAGGGAGAGACTGATTTGCTAAGTTTTCAAACGCCTGAAGGGCGGGTATGCAGAGGATGGTGAGAAACTTTTTTTCTGTAGCTGCAGGGGACAGGACAAGGAGCAATGGTTGCTTAAATGTTGGCGAGTGGAATCTAGTTTGGAGACTAGGAAGAACTTTCTTACTATGAGGGTGGTTCCCCATTGAAACAGGCGGCTCAGAGAGGCTGTGGAGTCTCTGTTTTCAAGCACAGCTTGGAGAGAGACTTGGCTGGGCTAGTTTAGGCAGGGGTGATCCTGCCTTGAGCAGGGGGCTGACCTAGATGATCTCCTGAGGGCCCTACTTTTCCCTGATTCTATGAAAGTACAGGTTTGGAAGCAGGAGTGTTATGCCTTGGACAGCTGGAGCAGGTGAGGTGCTGAAGTCTTGCTTACCTGCACTGGCACTGCGGGCAGTTGCGGGCTGCAGATCATTCACTGAGGAATGAAGGTAATTTACTTGGGAGTGCTGCGACCCCATTAGGAATGACTGCAGGGATCCCATGAAACCACAGGAGCCACAGGTAAATTTGCTGTCATTTCCAGGGGAAAGTGGAAAGGAAAGGAACAGAACAGCCCCATCTGGAATCACCTTGTACAAAGAGCAGTTGTAACATGAGTAGAATTTAGGCTGAACAAGACGACTGAATCTGGAGAGCCCTGAATTCCAGATTGAGATGCTGAGCTGAGTTACTATCGAAGGGCCCCCTTGCTTTAAGCTCATTTCCACTTTGTCCATAAAGTTAGTAGATTGTCTAGTTACTACATCTTGTTTCGGTGGCCCCGTAGCTTTATACCCTGAGCTACTATTTATACCCATTTCTTCTGGAGACTGACAGATTAGTTAGGTTCAAAAGGGTATTGGACAGATTCATGCAGGACAGGTTCATCAGTGGGTATGAAATGTGATAGTAGAGCTGTAGCCTCCAAGTTAGGATTTTCTAGGCCTCTGGAAGCTGTAAGGAGAGAGGAGAGGGGTTGAGGCGGATCAGTCCAGACAGGCCTTGTACAAAGGTCCAGACAGGCCTTAGCATCTGCTCTGTGCCCCTGTGAGGGACAGGATACTGAGCCAGATAGACCTAGTACGGCAGAGCTTGTCTTTTTACTTACTGCAGCCTCCGGGAGCATGTGCGACAATGAGGCTTGTTCCCGTAACGACTGACATCTTGAAAACAACCTCAGGACTCGCAAGCCGCAAAAGAAACTCCAGTCCCTGGCCTCAGTCATTTCCAGGCACAACGACTTTCTTAGTTACCCATGGGAAAATGTCCAGAATGCATCTGCTGTAACCTAATTGGCAAAATTTCCTGGAATTATTTTTGTGTTGCTTACAGTGGATGCAACTCTTTTCTCTTCAACTGCATGTTGAATGTTCTCCTGTGTTGCAGTGCATGTAACCTATCGAGTGCCACAGACGCCAACTCCTCCAGCCACGGGAACCAGACCCTTCACGATGAGCACAATATCAAAAACTATGAAAACACGACCGTGTTTTTTATCTCCAGCTTTCAATACCTCATCGTGGCAATTGTCTTTTCTAAAGGGAAGCCCTTTAGACAGCCTTGCTACAAAAACTGTAAGTTTTTAATAAACAGCCCTGCTGTATTTTTGCAAATAAGGGTTTCCTATTGCAATAGACTGACTTAATTCATGTAATGGATTTGTTCAGAATCCGATCCTTTCCTAGTCTTTAGAATCCCGTCCTACTGATTCCCTTGTCTAGCATCCCATGATATGATGGGAAAAAATAACAGTTTTGCTCACTAGAAAATGAGTTTCTTCCCCAGGAAATAGGGGACAAGATAATATGTCTATTGAAAATACGTGGGGCACTAAAAATATCCAGGATTCCTCTGGGGATGTTGTTTCAGCCATCTAATGAAGAAATTTCTTGTATGCTACAAATTGTCACTCTTTTCAAAGTAATTTTTGTGAAATGCAGGTGGTTCATTCTTGGCAAGAAAGTAGTTTCTCCTTTGGGAAACTGAACTAAGTGCAGTTGCTCCACTGATGCATTTCCCTCATTGAATTAAGTACTTTGGGTAACATAATACACCTGGTTTTATGTCCTTCTCAAGTAAAATGTCAACGTTACCCGTGTTTTAAAGTGCATTCAGATTGTATTTTCTGTTGTGAACAGGGAAAACTTGTATCACAAACTGTATTTTCATAAATTACTGAGAAGGGGATATGTGTTAAGATCTTTTTATATATGTAGTCAAATAATTAGAATAGAATTCTGCAAATTCCTTCAAATCCAAGATTTAAATATAAGACTATTTGCTTCTGGTTTATTAATGTAAAATACCCTTTGCCCTGTTTTATAGACATTGTTTCTTACAGCATGTATGACAGACATGCATACTGGCTATGAAAGACAAACTGATAAGTTATATTTTCTCCTCTTTTACAGTTCTTTTTGTTTTCTCTGTGATATTTCTTTATATCTTCATATCTGTCATCATGTTGCATCCAACTGAAGTTATTGACTCGTCTCTAGAGGTAAGATCCAGTGAATACACATCACACACAATGCAGCTGGCTTCCTTCTCAGACAACTTCTCTTGGCCCTGGTAGACACTTTTGACAACTAGAGTTCTGCTAGAAGAACTGAACACAAATTGGACATACACTTGTACAGTCAAATTATACCCAGCAATTACCTAGCAATTACCTAGCTTTGCATGACAATTTGAAGAAGCATTTACCTTAAAAAAACCCAACCCTATCAACCTAAGTTATAAGTTGAAATGTGTTTCAAACCCTTAATACTTTTTCTCAGAAAGCCTCTCAGAATGCAAAAAGATAAAATCCAGTGCTTTCTACAGCAAAGCATTTGCTCTAGTGCATAGACTTCTGTTCGAGCAATAGGAACAGGAATTTAAATTTGAAGTTTATATCCAGCCTTGCTTCCATCCAGTTTTCCCGTATGCACACACAATTTTGTGCATGTTATGTTGAGTGTATGTTGCTCACCTATGACACATTTCTTGCAGCTGGTTTGCGTGCCATATCAGTGGCGTGTAACACTTCTTGTCATTATCATCATCAATGCAGTTGTCTCCATCCTGGTGGAGGTAAGTAGGTTAAGTTAAAAGTGGTCTTTTTCATGCGGACTTTTTTCTGAGCACAAGTATATCCTCTGTGTGGAGTGATACCTGACTGTAAAATGTCCATGGAAAACAGGTCGATTAGAGTTTTATATTTCTACAAATGTATTTTCAGGCAACATTTAGGCTGTAGAATTTTGTGTTTAAAAACTGGTTTCTCTGAAAGGTTTAACGATTCACAATGTAGACAATAATGTGTCATGAAGTAATTGAGCAAAGTTTTGTAGTAAATTCAAAATAACACACAACAGCACCCTATTTATAATCATTTATAAATCTTTGTTCTATACAGTCTTTAGGGTGCTTGTTGTTATTACTGTCAATTATTTTGTCATCTAATAACTTCACAATGTTTGAGAAGAGATCATTCACTCACCTAGTTGAATCTTCTCAAACCATTAGTTTTCATCCAGGTACCCTTGTTTGGAGCCCAGTAACTTGAGTTGAACTAAAGAATATGTTCTAGGAAGGTCTCACTGTGGACCTGAAGACATCAAGAGACAGACAAATCCACCACTTGAGTTTGTTTTCACAGTTAATCATCCTTGATGCTAAAAACATATGCCCAGCTTTAATCTAAATTAGTCTGGCTTCAGCTTCCTGCTACTGGGTCTCCTTTCGACTTTCTCAGCTAAATAAGAGCCCTTTTGTCCTGGTTATTTTCTTCCTATGAACATGTTTGTACATCACAATTAAGAGACGTTTTTATGATAAGTGGAAGAGATTGAGCTGTTGGAGGCATCTGTCTAGCCCTCAAGTCATCTTTCTACCTCTCATTTTCTCCTGTTTCTTTAACATCCTTTTTCTTTTCTTTTCTTTTTTTTTTTTTTTTTATGTGGTCACTGGGCTTGACACAACATTCCTGGATAAGCTTCACTGGTGCTGTGCATGGAAGGAAAATCCTTTCCCTACTTCTCCTCACTGCCATTCCTTTTGCAACCCAGGATGGCATTTGCCCTTTTTGCCACTCCATTGCACTGGGAGCAGGTGTTGGGTTCCTGGTCTGTCACCCCTTAATCTTTTTCAGAGCCCCTGCTGTTCAGGAGAAAATCCACCACTGTAGGTTTGGCCAGACATTGCCTGTTCCTAGGTGTCTGATTGGTATTTGGCCCTATTTAAAAACTTGGTAAGCTGGGCCCATTCCTTGTGCCTGCTCTGTTGCCTCCTTATTTACACCTTCCTTGACCTTTGTGGCATCTGCCGTGAGCCATGAATTATTTCCGTATGCCTTTCCAGATCATCAGTGAAAATATCGACCATGGCCAGGGCCAGTCCTGAGCTCCTCCAAACTTCTCTACAAACCTCAACTTTGAGTCTCTCATGCGTCTCCCTGGCCTACCTTCTGCCATCTTTGATGGTGCCCCTTCCATAGCTGCTTGCTGAGGCCTGTCACTTCACCAGTGCTTAGTCTACTGAGCTTGCTTGTTGTCGATACCGCACTGCACAGTGAATAGACCATGGAACTGAGTCCGGGGCCTCTTTCATCTGAACCTGTAGCATCCATGCAGCTGCCTTCTCAGCAGGGATCCTGGTTTTCTCTGTTTAAAAATTGCAAAGTCTCCGATTAAACCTCCCCAAATCCACATTTTTCCGTGATTAAAATAAAACACCTTTGTTTTTGTGTTTTTATCATGGAAACATCAGAGCTCCCCCTGCCCCCTTCTCTCACCAGGATGTGGGTCCAGCTATGGCTGTCCCCCCCAACCTGTTTTGTGGCACTGGCCAACCCTGATATGCTTGTGCCCTGCCCATGCCATTACCCTTCTCTCCCCACCCTCCCCTGGCCCTGCTGGAAGGCCCCCAGCTACTGGGGCTACAGGGCCAGGGACCCAGGTCTGTGGCCCCCTGCCCCCCCAGTAGTGCCTGAACCCTGACTGCTGTCCGTGGGAAATATTCATTGTATGCCTGTGTCTTTGGCAGCATTAGTAAGTCTTACCATTGGCATTTCTTAATGACCCATCCTGAGGGTAATTTTTTTCCTGATTCATTTAAACTTTCTCATCTTTTTCCATGGTCACCATGTCATTTTCCCTAATTTCTTTAGCTTCCCTTAAAGGAATAGGATCATGGGAAAGCAGGGCTGGAAAGGACCTCAGAAGGTCCCTTAGTCCATCACCCTGCTCCAGGCAGGATCATCCCTCACTAAACTGTCCCAGCCAAGTGTCTGTCTAACCTGCTTTATTGCTGTCCTAGTGAGAAGATTTTTCCTAATATCCAACCTCCACTTCCCTTGCTGCAACTTGAGCCCATTGCTCCTTGTTCTGTCATCTGCCCCCACTGACACCAGTCCAACTCCATCCTCTCTGCAACCCCCTGCAGGAAGGTGAAGGCTGCTATTCAGTCCCCCTCGGTCTCCTCTTCTCCAGACTAAATCAGCCCAATTCCCTCAGCCTGTCCTCACCAGTTATGTGTCCCATGTCATGGGGCACAGGACTCCAGATGTGGCCTCACAAATGCCACATAGAAGGGAAAAATCACTTCCTTGACCTCTTGGCAACTCTTCTACCAATGTAGTCCAGGATGCCAGTAGCCTTCTTGGTGACAAGGGCACACTGCTGGCTCCTATTCAGTTTATTGTCCCCCGTCACCCCCAGGTCCTTTTCTGCAGAGCTGCTGCCCAGCCCGTCACCCCCAGCCTGCACTTGTGCAGGGGATTGCTCCCTCCTAAGGGCAGGACATTGCATTTGTCCTTGTTGAACCGCATGAGATTTCTTTTGGCCCAGTCCTTCAGTTTGTCCAGATCACTCTGAATCCTAGCCCTGCCCTCCAGTGTATCTACTACTCCCCCCAGCTTGGTGTCACCTGTAGACTTGCTGAGGGTGCATCCATCCCATCTTCCAGGCTGCTGATGAAGACATTGAACAAAACCTGCCCCAGGAGCAACCCCTGGGCTACTCCACTTTTTACCGGCTGCCAACTAGACTTAGAACCATTGAGCCCAACACTCCAGCTAGTTTTCTATCCACCGTATAGTTCATTCATCCAACCTGTACTTCCGTAGCTTGCCCGTGAGAAGGTTGTGGGAGGCCGTATCAAAAGCCTTGCTAAAGTCAAGGTGTGTCATGCCCACTACTCTCCCTGCATCCACAGAACTAGTCACTGAGTCACGGAAGGCAGTCAGGCTGGTCAGGCATGACTTCCCCTGGTGAATCCATGCTGACTGTTCCTGATCACTTCTTTTCCTCCAAGTGTTTAGAAATGGATTCCTTGAGGAGCTGCTCCATGATTTTTCCAGGGCTGACTGGTCTGTAGTTCCCTGGATCTCCCTTTTTACTTTTCTTATAGATGGGCACTATGTTTGTCCTTTTCCAATCGTCCTGGACCTCTCCCACTTGCCATGAGTTTTCAAAGATGGTGGCCAGTGACTCTGCAATCACATCAGCCAACTTCCTCAGCGCCCTTGGGTGCATCCTGTCCAACCCCATGGACTTGTACACATCCAGCTTTTCTAAATAATCCCTAACCTGTTCTTTCACCACTGAGAGCTGCTCACGTCCTCCCCAAACCGTGCTGCCCGATGCAGTAGTCTGGGAGCCAACCTTGCCTGTGAAGTCAAAGGTAAAAAAGGGCATTGAGTATTTTGGCCTTTTTCACATCATCTGTCACAAGATTGTCCCCCCTATTCAGTAAGGGACCCACACTTCCCTGATTCTCCTCTTGTTACTGACAAACTTGTAGAAACCCTTCTTGTTCCCCTTCACACCCCTTGCTAGCTGCACCTCCAGTTGCACTTTGGCCTTCCTGGTTTCATCCCTGCATACCTGAGCAATGCTCTTATTCTCCTCCCTAGTTGTTTGTCCAAGTTTCCACTTGTTGTAAGCTTCCTTCTGTGTTTTAACTCATTGAAGAGCTCCTGACTAAGCCAAGCTGGTCTTCTGCCATACTTGCTATTCTTGCAGGTTGGGATGGTTTGTTTCTCCACCCTCAGTAAGGTTTTTTTAAAGTACAGGTGACCCTTGCCATTCACAGGGGATACGTTCCCATGATCCCTGCGAATGGCAAAATCCACGAATAGAAGGATGGAGAGCAGCAGAGTAAGGACCCTGGACTTCAGAAAAGCAGACTTCTGTTCAGTCAGGGCAGGATCCCCATGAGGCCAGTCCCAGGGGGAAAGAGGTCCAGGAGGCTGTGGAGGAGGGCACGGCTCTGGCAGCCACGGCGGGAGCCCAGCGGCAGCAAGTGTGGAGCTCCTGAGGACCTCCGGTAAGTTTTTAAAGTGTATTTAAAATGTGGGTTCAGCATTCGCGAATATTTGAAATGGCGAATGCTGAACCCGTGAATACTGAGGGTTTCCTGTACAGCCAGTTCTCCTGGACTCCTTTCTGTGCAGCCAGCTGTCCTGGGACTGGCCTCATGGGGATCCTGCCCATCAGTTCCCTGACTGATTAGAAGTCTGCTTTTCTGAAGTCCAGGGTCCTTACTCTGCTGCTCTCCATCCTTCTTTTCCTCAGGGTCCTGAACTCACCCTTCAACAGATCTGACTGTTATCAAATGCCCCCGTTTACTGTGCCTCCAGTATACATCAGTTCCTCTCCATTTCCTCCTCCTTTCCATTTGCTGTGCCCTGCTTTTTCATGTCTAATTGCTGTTGTCATATCACCTCTGAGCCTGGTTCTTTCATGAGTGTGGAACTGCATCAGGCTAAGGTTGGAAGGGACACAAGGATAGTCTAGCCCAACCCCCTGTATGAATGCAGGCAGTTCTGCTCCTAAACATCCCAGACAAATGCTTGTTCAGCCTGAAAACCTCCAGTGCAAGCGATTCTGCAGCTTCTCCGGGCAGCTTGTCCTACTGTTCTGACAGCCAGGAAGTTCTTTCAGAGATTTAATCTAACTCAGGTTTGCTGCAGTGTAAAGTCACTGGTGTGTGTCCTGCCCCCAGAAGCAAGAGGAACACTTGCTCATCCTCTTCTGTCTGGCAGCCTTTCAGGTACTTGTAGACCACTGTCGTGTCAGCCTCTTAACTCCTGTTCTTGAGTTTTCAGACCACATCCAGTGCATCTTGCATTTTCTCTGACATCCCACTGCCCTGCTGCTGGCTGTTGGCCCTTCATAATAGGGCAGTGCTGACAATTGTTTGCAGTTTTAAGATGGCTGAAGGCCTGTCCTGGTAGCTGCTTGCCCCCGTGGCAGAGCCATCTCTCTCATATGGGACCTGTTGCTTTGGTTTCCATTTCTCTTCCCAAGACCGTTCCTCAAGAGTTGACTCCTTGAGTATCTGAGAAGGATTTGATGCTTCAAAACTTAATTCTGCCCAGGTGGTCTTCTGCCTTCGGTCTCAACTTGTCAGCCTGCTTTTGGGTTTCTGCTCTCTCCTGTTCCCTTGTCACTCACTGGTCCTTCCCTTAGTGGTAACAGTGGGTGAACATGGTTGTGCAGCATGCTGTGTGGCATTGCAGCTGGTGCTGTCATACACGCTCGTTCTCCTGTTGACCTGGTATTATGGGTTTGTGTACCAAACATCTCTTGCCTTCCGACAGAGAAAATATAACACGTCCAAAGCATGCCACAGAGCCGCCCCCTCCTTGTTCAGATGTGTTGCTTGGTAAAACTGAGCTGTGCCCCCTTCAGAACATGTCTGTTTTTTCCTCCCATTTGCCTAGCTCAGGAGTTTGCAAGGCTGTTGATTCACACGCTAAGCCTGGCTGCTCAGCTCCACTCCCTCGTTAACAAAGAGGAATTATCTGCTTCAGACAAGGATCAAAGAAGGCTCTTGGTTCATGGGCATACAAATCTCACCAAGATAGAAGCCAGCAGACTTGTCACACACCCTCCTCATTCAGGGACCCTGGACCTTGGCATAGGACCCTCACATAGAGTTAACAGACCAGAATTTGCACTGACTTCTCTGCCCTCCAGTGCATCCATATACTCCTCCTGTTTGCTACTCACTCACATTGCATCGTGCTCATTGCTGCTTAATAAAGATCCTCCCCCCCAATGATTAGAGAAAAGTGTCTTAATGTGAAACACCTGTAGCGCATTCAGTGCCAACGGAGGATTTTCTTGGAAAGGCAGCATCAGACCTGTTCTGAAGCCCTAACGCAGCGCTGGTATTCACTGTGGTTAATATAAGGCATTTGTTCACGTTCCTGAAAACCTTGTGGAAGTGCTTAAGTGCAGGAAATGGTTTATCACTTGAATACTGACCAAAGCAGATTCTGTTGGACAGGACCTTGGCATGTTGCTGTGCCCTGTGCTGATTGTCTAACTCACTGTTTCGGGTTTGATTTTGAATGTGCACACTAACAGCAAATGATGATTAGTTTCTTTAATTCTTCCCACTCACTGTAATGTCTCACAGAATGTCTTCCTTGACATGGTCCTTTGGAAAGTTGTGTTCAGTCGGGACAAACAAGGAGACTGTCGCCTCGCCACACCCCAGCCGCCTCAGGTTGGAGCCCAGTATTTTGCTGTCAGTCAATCAAGTGCATGCAAATTCAGTTAATCATGTGCCATGCCATTGGAATGGTACACTGAGGGAGGGAGCGGGGCGCCGCCTTTTAAACCTCAGATCACATCACATTGTAATTAAAAGGCCAGATCGTAATGAGGGGTTTGGAGGGGCAGGGGCAAGGAAGACTCAAGGAATGAATTGCATGTTGCATGTGACTTTCTTCTCCTTTCACATTAGATTTAATCATCTGCTTTGCGTGTTCTCTAATGGTGCACACTGTTCTTTTTCCTGGAATGAAACAGCATTATTAGGTCTCACCCTCAACACATTAAATGTGTTGTGGCTGATCATGTACCATCGGTTAAACAGCGTGTGATATGGGCAAGAAACATTCTCAGGGGGTTTCAAATTTGAGCATTTGAGAGCATTCTTGGATCGCAGAAAGGTCCCGGACCAAGCTGTAGCTCCTGATGCTCAGCCCGCGACTCATAGCGTACAGTAGTGCACAGTTCAGGCAGTAGTGAGAATGCTTTGAAGTGAGCAAGAAACAATTGCGGGTGTGTGGGATGTGGGCAGGCAAGGAGATGCTGACCTAGCCTCTCGCCTGTCTGCCTCTTTGACCGACATTCCTGCAGTAATGCCAGAGAGGAGCTGGCGACCCTCCAGAAAGGTCACGTGCCACGCGACCACTGCATGTCTCAGTTAGAAACAAGCGTAGCGTGGAACAGCAGTGAGGTGCAGTTTGAGAGTCTCCCTCTTAAATTTCTGGAATAGCTTTAAGGGGTTTTGCTGTCAACAACCTCATTCTCAGATCTGCTTGTTTCCCTGCCCCTTGCACAGGAGGCTGTGGACCGCTGGGCAGCCTGCTTCCTGACGCCCCTGTTTAGCTGCAGAAAGAAGACGCCACAAGCCAAGTACATGCACCTAGCTCAGGAACTGCTGGTGGATCCGGAGTGGCCACCGAAGCCCAGAACAACGACTGAAGCTAAAGCTCCAACCCAGGAAAATGGTTCCCATCACATAGTCACTGTCACGTAGCAGTGGCTCAGCAGTGAGCTTGTGTATTAGTGTTCAGACGAATGTGATCTTATGGCTTCATTGGGAAATGTAGTACTAAGCACTGTAAGTCCTAGTACAAATATTTCCAGCTATCTCCTGTCCCTGAATGCAGAGGGCAAGCTGGACAGCATGCAGTTCGCCCATGAAAAGGTGGGTGAGGTCATGTCCAGCAAAAGAAAAATGAGGGGTTTTTACTAATTTGAAGAGATCTTATTTTTCCATGTGCATTGTATTTAAAAATTTAAATTGCAGGGCTATTAAATAGCTCCTCTGATCATTTATCTAGGGTATGTTAACCTTTGGAAATCGTTCCAGCTTGCACTCCAGTGCACATATTCGTGCAGTTCACAATGTAGCATTTTCATGGTAGGTTTAGGGACACGTAGGAAAAAAATGTTTAAATGACTTTTGGTCACTGTCTTTGCTTTGATCAGAAAGCTTTGTGACCATATGATGACGCCCAGGTTTCAGCAAGTGTCCCTCTTGTTTCATGTGCCGTTCCAAAAACACCTCTGTGTCTGCTGGTGACACAGTGTTTTCAACTACAGGGCATGTAAAAGTTCTGGGTTCCTGGCTTAGTCCCTTAGTCTGACCCTGCAGGAAGTGGGACTGCTGTAGAGAGGTGTGCTCGGTGCCCAGAAGGAAAGCAGCACATTGCCAGAGTCATGCTGTGTTCCTCTTCTGCTCATGTGGAGTGGCATTGCAGTGGGGTGTGGGGGGGAACAGTCCTTCAGCCAGGACAGATTCAGCCTGCTTTTTGGGGTCTCTGAGGAGGGGATACCAGCAAACCTAGGCCTATAATGCCTCTTCTCTGTTCACCTTGCCTGTACCGCATTCAGCTAGTCACCAGCTCCACAAGATGCTTGCTTGATCCAGCAAAAGGTTAGATTGCTCCTATTGGACCAGGTTTATTAATGTAACTTGAGTGGTCTTTCCTAACCAATGCCTTTGCACTACCAAGGCCAGAGCTACAAGGCAGAAAATAATTTCCACATGACCATCACATTAGCCAGTCCTAATTCTGGGCACCGAGGGCTTATACATTTCAAAGATTGCTCTACTGGTGTCTTAATTGCTATGCAGTTCTTTGAAGATGCGAACAGATGAGCTGGAGTCAGTGTCTGGGTAGAAAACTGTAGGGCTGCTCTGACCCTCTTCACTCGTGCATCACCAGTGGTGCCGTGTGTGTCCTTGCAGTGGCAGCATACAGTTTTCCATTGGGTGGTGCCAAAGAAGGTTTGACACGGCCACCAAACACAGGATTTCAAAGTGACCCTGGCAGAGAGCAGCAGTTGCTTACATGTCGGTTGTAGAAGCCTACAAAACCTTGTGCAGCCTCATAAAGCAGTAGTAAAGCCATCAGAACAACTCCTTCAACACGTTACCCGAGGACATAACAAAACGATAAAGACTGGACAGCTTCTCCTGACTCGGTGAATCTGACGGAGCCAAGCAACTCTGAACTTTGAGAAGGGGCCTTATCCAGATCTGACCTGCATAGGAAGAAATGTCCCGGGTTGCACACGGGCCTCGGAATGTCAGGGCTTTGGAAATGACTTGAGGATGAGTCCCCAGCTTGAGAGCTCTGCAGGCTTAAAGGTCTGTAGAGAAGATCTTATGCTCTGGGATTCTTCAGGAAGGGAAATTTTGAAGCTCAGGCCTGTTTCCTGTGTGCTTTCTTATGAAGCAGCGAGCAGTAGCACCCGTGTTGCTAATTTTAGGGCTTTTGCAATGCTGAACATGCCATGCTAATGTTGCAATTAAAAATGGTGCTCGATGGTTTTGGGAGAGTACTTCTAGGAGCCGTGAGGGTTGTAGTTTTTAACACTCCTCACAAACAGCTTGTGGTCTGCTATCCTCCCTGACAGCTGGCAGGTCTTCCTGGCACTTCCAGGGGAGTTATTCACCACAGTCTTAATCAGTAGTGCAGAGCCGAGCTGTCCTCATCCCATCTCGTTAAACTGTTCAACACAAACACTGGTGACTTCAGAAGGGCCTGGAGTTGCACATGAGATCCCTGTTGCTGCTGGTGATTCTTCAGACTATCTCAGTCGTGTAGTGTTTGGGGTGGGGGAGAAGAATTGCCAGCTGAGTGCATACTTCTATCCCCTGTTTTGTAGAACACATTTTACTTTAATGGAAATATTCCATGAAGCTATGCATCTTGGACCTTGGAGCTGTGATTTACCACCACCTCTTGTATTTGACTTATTTAACAATTCACTTGGTGGGGTTTGGAGCTGGTATTGTGTTCATTGTTTTAACTTGCTGCTTCAGTCAAAAGTTAAAAAATAACGCGTGCGTCATCTGCCTCTTGGAAGTGGTGTTGCTTACTTAGGGTTGCCAAACCCTACCCCAGCCCTAATTCTCTTTCCCTAAATTGTGGATCCATCTCACTCATCTTGTTCAGATGCTAAAGTCAGTCTTTGTTTGTGATAGCAGCGCTTCATGGTCTAACCTGGTATCCGAGCTCGTTGGGAGGAAACTGCTTATTAAGGGAGTGGGCTTTAGGGCCAGAATTGTCCAGCTGTTCCCCTCCAGAACAACTGCCTGGTCCAGTCGAGGATGTTAAAAGCTCGACCTCCAGGACGGGTCCCTTTGACTTCAGCTGGAATTGCAGGTGCTCAGTCCACTTTGGGTAGGTGAGGCCCAGGTTCCTCAGGAGGGGCACACCGAAGGAGCGGATGCTTGCTGCTTTGTGGCTGAGCTGTTCACATCTGGACTGGCCCCGTTGTTCTGGAGGGCGGCAGCTGCCTTCTGGGGAAAATCCACTACCAGTTTGGTGCAAGGTGTTATGTTTCACAGGGCTCCCGTTCGGTCGTGACAGAAGCAGGTACAGCTCGTACTGAAGACACTGGGAATTGCACCTTCTTAACTCAGGGCTGGGTTTGGCCCTGTGTGCCCATGTTTCTTTTTGGACGGTTGATGTGGTTTTTCAGGTATGCAAAAAGAGAGCAAACCAGATCGGGACACATTAGCGAGTTCATTTCATAACTGGAAGTAGGCTGAGCTTCAGGGTCTGTGCTTAAAATCATCTTTGTACATTTTCCTTGAATGTGTGGGTTCAGATGAACAGGACTGTTTTGTGGGCCATACTAAATGAACTTTGGGGGGTTTCTTTCTACTGTATAATTCAGCCTCACATTGAAGAGTTTGATTCTTATTAAATTATTTGCTCTTATACAGACTTAAATTTAAATCTGTACATGTCTTACTTTGATGTATTAGGATATGTAAATATTAATGATTTGAATATTATTTATGCACCTACTTAAAGACTGGTCTACCCAGGAAAGCGGTTGTTAAATAATAAATGTAACTTTTTAAACTTTTTTAATAAATACCGAGATCTTTAAAATGTGTATCCCTCAGGGTTATTTTTAAAGCTTTCTTCCTTCAGATATAATTAGTGCTCACTGTAATCTTCATATATTCTAGAACTAAGTCTACTGTAAAATATGCTGCAAATAATGCTTAAGTGAAAGTGGCTAAATCATCCACAGAACCAAGATTGTTCATATTCATTGCACTTTTAGTTGGAAAACTATTGCAGTTTCTTACTCTATTTATTTTATTTCTTGTTCTGTGTGTTCACGAGGATTTGTGCTGTACAGTTCATCCCAAATCAGATAAATATCCATTTACTGTATTATGCATATACAGTGCTAACATTAGGCACATGGCAGATCCTTTTTGATGCTGCAGACTTTTTTTAATGCTTTTCTCTTGGTCGTCACATATATCAAGATTTAGGAAGCGCTTTACAGTTTCTCATGTGAAATTCTCATTTACAGAATTAGATTTTTGTATGCCTAGCGGGGAGGGGCTGGTTTTTGACAGTTTTGAGAGTCTTTGAATGTTAATTTTATACAGTGTATAGCTTCAGGTTTTTACAGCTATTTTCAACAAACTGCAGTTTGATAATTATGTGAGCACAAAATGACTTTCATGAATTTAATAAAAAATGAGAAGGCTTATGATTAGTGTGTTCTCTAGAAGTTTGGCTTTTATTTTTACAAAGCTGGTTCAAGTCAGAAGTGATACTGCAGCTTTCTATTTAAAAGCACACGCGGCTGCTCCAGAATGGTACCCGGCAAACACGCAGACCTGCACAGAGGCATTGTACATAGCCTTGTAAAAATCATTTTTGTGATTTGAATCTGTTTGAAATAAAACTGGAAATGAAGGCATCTTCCTCTCAAAGCTTTTTTTGTTTCATCATGTTCTCATGAAGAGCTGCTCGTCGTTGCCTCTTGCTCCACAGTCAGAACTGACCCGAGCGCCTCGCTGAAGCATAGAGGGCAACTCCCGCTGCCCGTCTGTTCCCTGCTGGTGCTGCCGAGGTTCTGGTTCCAGCACTGCAGCCCAGCCTGGCCATCCTTCCCGAGATGTTTGCAATGTAGGAACCCGGGAGGGAGGGCCCTGGAAAGAGAGAAATGAACCCCACTCGGACTACCCAGTTGTGTATTGAGGCTGCCTCGGGGGCATGTCTCTCTGAACATCGTTCATGGTGGGAAGAAGGAAGGATCCTGGCTCTTCTCTGGCTTGCATGGAGCAGCGTCCCTTGGCTAGAACTGCCTTTGCTTTGCCCCAGTGAAGGTATCCCTTTCTGCAGCCCTCTGTGATCTGTGGGTGTTGCTGCAAGCCTGGCTCAGAGCCTCTCCTGGCCGTTGCATTTGTGTGACTAGCTGCAGCCATCGCCCTCTAAGATTATTTCTTTCTCTTTTTTGCGTCCAGCTTTAGCCTTTGAAGTCACCATGCGAGGACAAGCTGTACAAGATGAGAGGTGTTATCTGGAGGGTGTGTTACGCTGCCATCCTTCCTGGGTAAAATGCAGCATCATGCGTGCTGGCGTCCTTACTTCCCTGCTCTATGCATAAGCAACTGGGAGCAGCTGCTTAGCCACTATGGTAAGTCTCAAAGGCTTTTTCTTAATGCTCAGGCAGGGCTGGGTATAGATTGTGCATGAGCTGGTCATTCAGAATTGATTAAGGAACCTGTTGAATCTTGTGCATTTGATTTTCCACAGATGTGGACTCCAGCCTCAGTGTGTGAGACTCGGGGTCTGTACAGCTGTTGGCAATGTGCGGAGTGTGTGGCCTCCTTGTGCACTGTGAACATCACAATCGCCAGACTGGGTCGGCCCCGCATCCATCCAGCCTTGCATCCCATCTCTGCTGCTGACCAGTACCAGGTGCTTCAGAGGAAGGTACAAATTGAGAGGTAGACTGAGAAAATGTAACCTTCATACAGCTGTCACTGGGGTCTTTAACTGTTATAAACTGGCTTAATCCTCACACCGGGAGTTTATTGTTGCTTCGAAAAATGTCATAATTATAACAACTGGAAATTCTTGAGAAGCTTGTCATGATAAATTCCTCTCTTGAGTCCTAGTTAATGACTTCCTGTGGTACAGCTTAATTGCACATTATGTGAACAAGTCTTTCCTTTATTAGAGTTGAATTTTCCCACCTTACATATAATTTCCTTGATTTTCCCCCCTCCCCACCTTGAAGGGTCTTGTGTTATGGGGCAGGAAGAAGAGATGTTCTTGTTTTGCCTTGTCTGCACCTTTCATTACTTTACAGCCTCTGATTGTGTCTGCTCTGATCTCCCTCCTCTCAGAAGTAATGCTCGTGGTCTTTTCAGCCTCTCTCTTCCTAGGAAAGCTTCCTCAGACCCTTGCTCATTCTCATCACCCTTCTCTGAAGCTCTTTGAGTTCTGCAGTGTGCTTTTGGGGGATGAAGTGAACCACCCTGTGCGTACACAGTCCCATTTGAGGTTGTGCCACTGATGCATATCGAGGCGTTGAGCAGTCCCTGTAGTGCTCTGCATGGTAGCATCTTGGCTGCCTCTGCAAACTGAGCAGAGGTCTTCGTTAAGCAGCCCGACTGTGTGCAGCAGTGGAAAGGGCTTCCTGGCTCCTCAGTTACAATCCTGTGAAAGGAGCAAATGTATGGCTGGCTGGTCTGTACCTTCCCGAATCTGCTTCACAGACCTCTTTAAAACAGGAAGGAGAGATGCTGTCTTCCAGTCCTCCAGGCTGGGCTCTGTGCGAATGGACCGAGCACGTTCTTGTGCAGGTGTTCAGCCAGCTCCGGAGCTCTTGGGAGCTCCCCTGGCCTGGGGGACGTACTACCCTCGGGTAATCATTTTGCCTCAGCGTCTCTTCCCTCTCCCCAGTTTCCAAGTGCCTCATCTCTGCCGGTCCCCGGTAGGAATCTCCCCAGCGGGCTCGGTGCTGAAGGCGGACACAAAAATGATTTCTGTTTCTCTGCAGTTTCCCTGTCTTCCTTAACAGCTCCCTTTAACCCCTGCTGATCCAGCCACTATTGGGGCCTTCCCAGGCTCAATGTGCACAAAGACTCTCCTGGCCCCGCAGACTACCGGGTCCAGACTAGCAGCTCAGCCACCGAGTAACGAGGGGCTGTTCCTCGGCACGCTCCCCGAGGAACCAGCTCTTGACTACCTTTTCTGGCCCTGCTGATTTTCCCTCTTCCTGGCCAGCTCATATAACTCTCACTCATGTTCTTGGCTTTGCCCTGGTCAGACTTAAAAGTGCCAAAGGAGCTCTGTCTGGGGTGAGTTTCGGCCCCAGCTGTGCCTTATCCCCAAACTCCTGTTGGTCGCTGTTT